AGAGGTACAGGAATCCTTGTACACTGATGGTAAAACTGGACTGGTGTAGCCATCTCAGAGAACCATCTAGCAGTATTAGTGTTTGTAGTCAGACTAAGTATGTGTACACTTTTTAAAAACATATTTTTATTGATTTCAGAGAGGAAGGCAGAGGGTGAGAAGATAGAAACATCAATGATGAGAGAGAATCATTGATCGGCTGCCTCCTACACGGCCCTACTGGGGATCGAGCCCACAACCCAGGGGAGGGGCCTTTAACCAGAATCAAACCTGGGACCCTTCAGTCCACAGGCCAAACCGGCTAGGGCTGTGCATACTTTATGATGCAATCATTCTCTTCATGGGTATATGTGCCCAAGGAAAGTCTCATATAGGCCACTAAGGGGACACGAACAAGACTTTGCATCACAGTATTATTTGCGGTATCTGGGAGCTAGAAGTAATCCTGCTGTCAGTCATTATGGAAATTCAGGGAAAATGTGGTGAAGGCACACTGGTTAGCATGGGCAGTCAGGAGCAATAGATTAGATGTATGCATAGCAATGTGGACAGACTTGAAAACATATGGCTTAATGAAAAAAGTGAGAAACATAATGAGATACCATTTATATAAAATACAATTGCAAACACACAAAGCATCCTTCAGCATGGGACAACCTGATCTTATGTGCCTCCTGAGGGGATATAGTATGAAGTAAACAATATCCTCTATGTACTGTTATTGCTGGAAATATTTAATCTGAATCTAATCATGTGGAAAGAGCAGATAAATCCAGAATGGGGGACAGTTTACAAAAAAACTTGTCAAAAATATCAGTGTAGCCTTAGCCAGTATTGCTCAGTGGATAGAGTGTCGGCCCTCAGACTGAAGGGTTCTGGGTTTGATTCTGGTCAAGGGCATGTACCTTGGTTGCAGGCTTGGTCCTCAGTAGGGGGTGTTCAGGGGGCAGCTGATAGATGTTTCTCTCTCATTGATATTTCTAATTCTCTATCCCTCTCCCTTCCTCTCTGTAAAAATCAATAAGATATATTTTTTAAAAAAGAGTGCAGCATTCAACAAGTAGAAATTAGAGAACATTTTTACTAATAAAAGTGCATGATTAAATGAAGACATGCTCAATGATACAGTGAAATCGAAAGGGTTCTGGGTTTGATTCTGGTCAAGGGCATGTACCTTGGTTGCAGGCTTGGTCCTCAGTAGGGGGTGTTCAGGGGGCAGCTGATAGATGTTTCTCTCTCATTGATATTTCTAATTCTCTATCCCTCTCCCTTCCTCTCTGTAAAAATCAATAAGATATATTTTTTAAAAAATCAGTGTAATATAAAACACACAAAAAATACAGGGGTATTGTTCTAGATTGAAAAGATTAAAGCAATACAACCACCACACATAATGCATAAACCTTGATTAGATCATTGGATTAAAAATAAGAGCAGGTCTAAAAACATTTTGGGTACAACTGGAAAATTTGAATATAGGACATTTTTTATTGTATTATTGAATTGTTGTTGCATTTTCTTAGGTGTAGTAATGGCATTGTGTTTATGTAGGAGAATGTCCTTATTCTAATAAATGTGTGCTGAAGAATTTAGGGGTAAAGTGTTATACTGCCTGCAACTTTCAATTGGTTCATTAAAAAGGAAATGTATACATACACATATCAATAGAAGTAGAGCAAATTTTGCAAAATATTAAGGGTAAATGGGTTTTTTGTACTATTCTTTCAGCTGTTCTGAATTTCGAAAAATTGAAAAATAAAAATTTGGGGGAAATACTTGCACATAAAACAACAATGCATATTTTGCAAGAACACATATACACAAAAGAGAAGCATAATATACTTTAGAATGGTTGCGTACATTAGGGAAATAAGAGTGGAAAGTAGAGATGAAAATGAATTAAACAAATAGCAAAAACCTCCCTAAAGTAATAGATATTCATTGAATATGTGAAAACACAGAAAGGCACAATGAAAAAAACCCGAAATTCACTGATATTCTCATTTTCTCTGTCAGTAGTTCTTAAAATGTAGCACCTGGACTAGCAGCAGCAGCTTCATCACCATCACCATTATTTATCATCATCCCTTGTGAGCTTGTTAGAAATGCAAATTCCTAAGCCAGACTTACCAAAATACAACTCTGGCGCTGGGGTCCAGCAATTGGTATTTTCACAAGCCCGGTGATTCTGCTACTGGCCAAAGTTTGAGGACCAGTGATCTAGATTTAACCACTGTTAATTTTGTTGTAGATCCTTGTAGTCTTCCTAAAAATATTATGAAATCTTTTAGGCATGCAAATAAGTATATAGAATAATATAAGACACACCCATCTACCTACTATCCAGATAAACTATTAGACAAATAGTTCCTTTGTTTTCTACCCCAGAGGTAATCACCATTCTATATTTGGTATTTACTTCCCTTGTTTTAAAAACATTGTTTATACTTTTATGTAATCTATAAACAACAGTGCATTATTTTCTAGATTTAAAAATCTACACGAATAAATGGTCTCATACTTCATGTATCCTTTTACAACTTGTATTTTATTTCAGCATTGTGTTTTTGAAATTTATCTGGGTTGATACATGCAACGCTGATTCACTTTTCATTGCTGTATAGTATTCCATTATAGGCTGTACCACTATTTGTTTTTTCATTCTCCTGTTGAACTTTTAGATTGTTCATATATTTTCTCTATTACAAACAGCTCTGCAATGAATATTCTTGCACATGCCTCCTTGTGTATATGTATAAGAATTTCTCTAGGATGTAAAAGTCTAGGGGATGGACATACATTTATATACACACAAAAATATACCTCTATGATAGTGGAATTGCTGGGTCCCAGGGACATCTTCAACTACTCTGGATACTTCCTAATTGTTTTCCAAAGTAGTAAAACCAATTTTTACTTCTATAAAATATTTCATTATAATTTTTTTCCTTATAGTTTGTTCATTTGAAACTTTGTTTAAAAAGTCCATACCTGGGCTCTGGCTGGGTAGTTCATTTGGTTAGAGTGTTGTCCAGATACACCAAGGTTGCAGGTTCCATCCGGGTCAGGGCACATACAAGAATCAACCAATGAATGCATAAATAAGTGGAACAACAAATCGATGTTTTTTTTTCTCTCTCCCCCTCTAAAATCAATTTTAAAAAAAGCCCACACCTGTCCTAGGTTACAAAAATATTTCCCACCCTCTTATGGGGAAATAAGTAGGTACCCAGTTTTATTTTTCTCCTTATGGCGAGCCAAATTTCCCAATGCTATCTACCAAAATGTCCATTCCCCATTGATTTGTGGTACAGGCCTAAAATTTCACCCATTTAACAAACATTTGCCCAAGCCTGCTTGTACCAGTCTTGTTGAGGGTTCGAAGCCTCAACAAGACTATGGACTATATCGCCCATAGTCTGTTGAGATATATCCAAGTAACAGTAACAGTATTAAGTGATATGTAAGAAAGTGTCCTGGGTTTTTCACTCAGCTGGGGAAGTTCGACGTGACAAGGGTCGGGTATTAAAGAAACAGCAAGGATTTGCTAATGCTGGGGTAAAGGTGAAAGTGACCAGGGCTGGTTTGGGGTCCAAAGGAGTTTTGTGTGTGTCTATGGTGAGAGACTAGAATCCTTCCATGATGTAGGGCAGGGGTGGGTAACGTCCAGTCTGCTGGCCCTATAAGGCCCCCAAAATCATTTGGTTTGGGCATTAGGGGTGAGTTAATGAAATGTTTGACCAAATATAGCAGGCTAATTTTTATGTTGATAATTTTGTATGGCCCTTGAATGATGTTTTAAATATCCAAATGGCCCTTGGAAAAGGTTTCCCACCCCCGCTAGGGGCAGTGAGTCCTTTGTATGTAAGGAGTAGGAGTAGGTGGAGGTGGAGGGACATATCCTCCAGGTAAAGGGGCTTGGCCCCACCCCAAAGTTTAGGCTACAGGAAGAGGAGGGGCTGCAATTAAATGGTCAGAAGACATTTTCAGACTGATATTTATGTATCTTAGGGGGAGACATTCTCCAGCCAGGTCAGAAACTCCTCTAGAGAGTTTCTGGAGAAACCCTAACCTGCCCCCACTCGAGATATAAATTAATGAATTCTGCAGACATGGCTCCGGGGTCTGAGGGAAGCGGGGCAAGGGGAGGAAGAGGGCAAACGGGTGAGAGAGGCTTTTCCAATTGTTTGGCTCTTGGGCCTGACCATGGATCTTAGCTTTTGCAGAGAGAGCTGGCAATGGCTGCCAACGGGTTTGTCCGGGCCCTACAAGTCTGGAAGGTTGCTGCAAACAGCTAACCAAGTCGCTCCAGGTGGGGAATACTCGGGAAGACATGCGACACAGGCGGCCATTTTCTCACACCCTGCCCGTCGCCATCTTCCACTGTAGACAAAGGCACGGCTCTCCACCCTCGTCTGATGCGGTCCTGCTCCTCGCCTGGCCTTCACGTTCCTGGCCTCGGCCGAGGACAGCGGGGAAAATCTGGGCTTCCAAGTTCGTTGGGTGACCACACCAGTCCAGCCGCCGCTAGCCCCTTCCGCATCTCCTCCTCCCTCCTCCCCCTCAGCCCGTTTCCTTTCCTTTCGGGGCAGCCGGAGGGCGGGGCCATCGCGGCCGCGGGGAAGGGACGGGCGGGCGC